GGGACACTCTTGTGGGACACTCTTAAGGGACACTCTTGTGAGACACTGTTGGGGGACACCCTTGTGGGACACTCTTGTGGGGCACTCATTTGGGACACTCTTGCGGGACACTCTTGTGGGACACTCTTGTGGGACACTCTTGCAGGACACTCTTGTGGGACACTCTTGTGGGACACTCTTGTGGGACACTCTTGTAGGGCACTCTTGTCGGACACTCTTGTGGGACACTCTTGTAGGAAACTCTTGTAAGAAACTCTTGTGGGACACTCCTGTAGGACACTCTTGTGGGATACTCTTGCGGGACAGTCTTGTGGGACACACTCTTGTGGGACACACTCTTGTGGGACACTGTTGTGGGACACTCTTGTGGGACACTCTTAAGGGACACTCTTGTGAGACACTGTTGGGGGACACCCTTGTGGGACACTCTTGTGGGGCACTCATTTGGGACACTCTTGCGGGACACTCTTGTGGGACACTCTTAAGGGACACTCTTGTGAGACACTCTTGCGGGACACTGTTGCGGGACACTCTTGTGGGACACTCCTGTGGGACACTCATTTGGGACACTCTTGCGGGACACTCTTGTGGGACACTCTTGTAGGACACTCTTGTGGGACACGGTTGCGGGACACTCTTGTGGGACACTCTTGTGAGACACTCTTACGGGACACTCTTGTGGGACACTCTTGTAGGACACTCTTGTGGGACACTCTTGTAGGGCACTCTTGTGGGCCACTCTTGTGGGACACTCTTATATGGACACTCAGACACTCTTGTGGGACATGGTTGCGGGACACTCTTGTGGGACACTCTTGTGAGACACTCTTACGGGACACTCTTGTAGGACACTCTTGTGGGACACTCTTGTAGGACACTCTTGTGCGACACTCTTACGGGACACTCTTGTTGCACACTCTTGTAGGACACTCTTTGTGGGTCACTCTTATGGGACACTCTTGTCGGACACTCTTGTGGGACACACTTGTGGGACACTCTTGTAGGACACTCTTGTGGGACATTCATACGGAACACTCTTGTGGGACACTCTTGTAGGACACTGTTGTGGGACATGCGGGACACTCTTGTGGGACACTCATACGGGACACTCTTGTGGGACACTCTTGTGGGATACTCTTGTAGGACACTTTTGTGGGACACTCTTGTAGGACACTCTTGTGGGACACTCCTGTAGGGCACACTCTTCGTACGAGACTTCCTCCAAAAAGTCACGCTGCGACGCTGCAAGACGAGCGTTTCGTACGAGACTTCCTCCAAAAGTCACGCG